GGATAAGTGCATTAGGAGCACGTGTGACTTATATAGTGAGAATTATTTATGATTATATATATATATATATTTAACCAGAACACGTACAAGTTTCCACCTATGGATACAAATAATAAAACACTACAATACTTATTTATTTTTCTATTTATTAATTTCTTCTACCAGTTTAGTGAGTTCAAAGGTCACTCTTCAGGATGTAATTTTATAGACAATCTATAATTATCATTATTAATTAAATAATATAATTATAATTGAAAACATTCAAATATCAATTTTCAACTGAACATAAATAAACTGAATTAAACATATTTTTCAAAATGTAAAAACATAAAATACACTCCTTATATACATTAAAATATACTCAAAAATCAATAAGTGAAAACTTATCAAGATCACTTTCCTTTCATTTCTTTTATATTTTTGTCATTATCTTTTGATTAAAACTTTAATTACATTTTCTCCTGATGTTATAGAAAATACTTTTTCCATAATCTGCACACACATATATCTAATATGTCTGTCTGTTTGTTCGCACCTTTGTTCTTTATACGTTTCCACATTTCTTGATCAATCAGCACCAAACTTGACACAGTGATATAGGATAACATGAAAAAGGTCATTAAGGGGGTTGGACCCCCATCTAATTTCATATTTTTAGAATTCTTGAAAACAGTATATCTTTCTTTTCAGTATTCGTATCTTTATGTATTTTTATTGCAGTTTTAATGCTTATTATGTTAAGACAAATAAGAGAACAGTTTCCTGACCTTTGTTACCAACGGGTTCTTGTTTCACCCAGCTAGTATTATATATATATGTATACTCATGAAAATATAAACAAAATATTAATATGATTATCTAGAGCTGTGTACAGGTGGCCTTTTAATTGATGGTGATGTGGCTAAACTGGAAAGAACCACATGGACACGTAGATTGCATTCTGATGGTCGGAGAAAATTAAATAAAGTTTAGCAAAAGCTATCAAACGTGGTGTTATAATTATATGATCATAACCTCTTCGGTTTGCTAATTCTCAATTCTGACATGAATCTTGCTATGGACCATGTATTGTAGACTGCTATTGGCTCACGATTTACACGTGTAAAAGGCCCAGCATGGCCAAGTGGTTAGGGCCTACGACTCGCAATCTGAGGGTCGCGGGTTCGAATCCCCGTCTCACCAAACATGCTCGCCCTTTCAGCCGTGGGGCGTTATAATGTGACGGTCAATCCCACTATTCGTTGGTAAAAGAGTAGCCCAAGAGTGGGCGGTGGGTGGTGATGACTAGCTGCCTTCCCTCTAGTCTTTCTCTACTAAATTATGGACGGCTAGCGCAGATAGCCCTCGTGTAGCTTTGTGCTAATTTCAAAACAAGCAAACAAAGGTGTAAAATCTTGCGACGCCAGATTGTCGTAGACCAAAGTTCCGAAGGTCTTTGGCCGGTAACTAGTGGATGAACTCGAAAGAACCTGATGCAAGCAAAAATCTTAAAAGTTAATTAACTGGTTATATACTGAAGTAGATATGAACAAACTAGTAAACACTAGGTGCACCTAGTTTAAGTTTAAACGATGATCAGAAGGCAATTCAATTGTTGAAAACATGATTGAAGTTAGACAAAGAAACCTGTACAGCGAATAGCCAATGATTTCATGTCTGGAAATAAGACTACACTGAGTGTAGACATTGATATTTGGAAATGTATCTGAATTAAGAAGAACAGAATGTAGACTGAAAAATGTTCAGATAGCATTTTAGTAAATCTGTCGTTTATGAATATACTCTGGGTTTCTATCTTCTTGTAATGTTAAAATATTTATTCCAATTTCATTCTTTCTTCTGAAATATGCAGATTTCAGTTAAAACGTAGTCTAGAAAATCGTTAATTGATCTTGTTTCTAGTTGCTTTTGTGCTTTGTTGTTCTCGAAAGTAGGTAATACCTCTTATCCTTCAGGGATAACATTGTTGGATGTCGATAGCAGCGCCCTCTAACGCTTGTTCAGGTGACGTTTAGAGGTTACTGTCTCGCCTATGGTGCAATGATAATGACTAGTCACGTGGGTAGCGCATACCACCATAGATAAATACGAGTTTTTTTTGCAGTTAGTCAACCTGTTGCAGTTAGTTTCACCTTGAACTGTTGCAAGAGAAGAGTTAATAAAAGCAATTGTTCCATGTGAGTAAACAGCAAGTGCATACACTGTGTTTGTGTTTCATTGTAATAATAAAGGTTGCACATTTTGTTTTACACTTGTGTCCAGATTTCATTTTACATCGACTCGATTAGTAATAGATTGAGTACCACACCAGGTGTAATCGGTATTTTGAATGAGTATCTTGTTAAGTAGCGGGTCTATCCACAGTGAATTCAGTTTCATCCGTAATACACTACAGACGGAGATGAAACTGGATTGGGAAGAACAAAACATAGACTGAACAATGGCCAAGTGGCAACTAATTAGATGGAAATGTGAGTGAACTATGGAAAAAAATATAGACTGAACAATGGTCAGGTGGTGATTATATAGGCGGAAATGTGAGTGAACTATGGAGAACAAGGTGTGGACGAAGAAACCTGCAGAGTGACTAGCTGACAACTTCACTGTCCAAGGCGTGGATGAAATGGTTATAGACAAAAAAACCAGAACACTAATCATCTGATAAATTCACTGTTAGAGGCATAGGTGAAACGGCTATAGACATAAAAAAACAACAAAACAGAACACTAATCTTCTGGTAATGTCACTGTTAGAGATGTGGATAAAATGATAAGGCCTGAAAAGTGAAGGTTAGTCAGATAGTTCATAATTAGAGTTGTTGAAACGTGAAGGTTAGTCAGATAGTTCGTGAGTAGAGTTGTTGAAACGTGAAGGTTAGTCAGATAGTTCATGAGTAGAGTTGTTGAAATGTGTAGGTTAGTCAGATAGTACATGAGTAGAGTTGTTGATACATGAAGGTTAGTCAGATAATTCATGAGTAGAGTTGTTGAAATGTGTAGATTAGTCAGATAGTTTGTACATGAGTAGAGTTGTTGAAACGTGAAGGTTAGTCAGATAGTTTGTACATGATTAGACTTGTTGAAATGTGAAGGTTAGTCAGATAGTTTATACATGAGTAGAGTTGTTGAAATGGGAATGTTAGTCGGATAGTTTGTACATGATTAGACTTGTTGAAACGTGAAGGTTAGTCAGATAGTTTATACATGAGTAGAGTTGTTGAAATGGGAATGTTAGTCGGATAGTTTGTACATGATTAGACTTGTTGAAATGTGAAGGTTAGTCAGATAGTTTATACATGAGTAGAGTTGTTGAAATGTAAATGTTAGTCAGATAGTTTGTACATGAGTAGAGTTTTTGAAACGTGAAGGTCAGTCAGATAATTCATGAGTAGAGTTGTTGAAACGTGAAGGTTAGTCAGATAGTTTATGAGTAGAGTTGTTGAAATGTGAAGGTTAATCAGATAGTTTGTACATGATTAGAGTTGTTGAAATGTGAAGGGTAGTCAGATAATTCATGAGTAGAGTTGTTGAAACGTGAAGGTTAGTCAGATAGCTTGTACATGAGTAGAGTTGTTGAAACGTGAAGGTTAGTCGGATAGTTTATGAGTAAAGTTGTTGAAATGTGAAGGTTAGTCAGATAGTTTGTACATGATTAGAGTTGTTGAAATGTGAAGGTTAGTCAGATAGTTTGCACATGAATAGCGTTGTTGAAACGTGAAGGCTAGTCGGATAGTTTATGAGTAGAGTTGTTGAAATGTGTAGGTTAGTCAGATAGTTCATGAGTAGAGTTGTTGAAATGTGTAGGTTAGTCAGATAGTT